GCCGGCCTTTGTAAGTTGCATACCAGCCTGTCTTGACAAAGTCTCGGATCGATGTCCAAGGCCAGTCAACCCAAACGCTCGACGTGCCTCCCGAACAGCTATCGCAGAGGAGTTGTCCGGAGTCTGCGATTCCTGACTACGAAGGCGACATGGGCATGGTACTGACGCCATGGCCAAAATTGCTGAGCAGGCGCCGCTATGTAAGGGTCTGGCACTCGACTGCAACAGCAAGATGTGTATGCTTATGGAACTGTAAGACGAATGCAATGGCAAGGCACCTGACTATGTGCTCCGTAGTTTTGTGCTGCAGACCAGTATGCACTTGTGATGCAGTTTGAGCTTTACTTCGTGATGGACACACTGAACTTGAAGCACGAGCTACCTCATTGCACATGCATACATATGTTCATACACGCATACATACATACAAAATTGCACACATGCACACAAAATATATACAACAGGTACATACGTACTTGCATTGATTTATATACATTACATTACCTTACATTACAGTACATTACACTACACAACATACATGTAAATGCCATCCATGCATGTGTGCATGCATGCCTGCACGTGCATAGGAAGCACACACAGGCACACCCATACACCACTGCTTGCATCACCAAGCTCAAGCTTATGCTTGTAGGATCTTGTAGGCTTATGAATTGCACCTGCAGACACATACGTATGCCCACAAATGTCTACAGCAAGGTTTGGGAAGTCCACCGGTGCAAGGACCGACACTTGTGAAATATGCAACCATAATTAGATGCAAGTATTTCTAGATGACTCTAGCACCTGACGGCAGTGCCGAGAGTCAATCGGCGTGGACCAGTCCTAGGTGGGGACAGGCAGAGACGCGCGCATCCGAACCCTATGATCCTTACCTCGGGTCGTTCTCGGCCACCATCGCATGCCAGGGCTCGTCTGGGGGCACAGCGGTTATCTTATCGGGGAAGGATTGTTTGGCTACACTCAAAAGTATTTGAGGTGCAAGCGGCCCCGAGTAGACGACTCATATAAATGACTGCACTTCACCACATCCTCCCGCAAGCTATTCATTTATCTAGCCAAGCTTCAGGGTGGCCCCAGGGCAGCGAAGCAGCTGGGCTTCCCGTCGGCACAGGCTCCTGTGCTGAAGCCGTAAGGGTTCTGAACGTGGGGCCGGGATTATCGAAAGATATCCTGGGGCGCCCTCCGACTCGAATTTCGGTCATCTGTATCTTCCCTCAAGCCCATCCTCCGGCAGCTCTTCCGGCGTCTGAAGTGAGTCTGCTGAGTCGATGTGGCGTAGGCCTCCGCAAAAACAGAAGTGACATCAACAACTGCTGTAATTCGTGTGTTCCAGTCGGCTTCTGCATGGCATGTCAGTCTGCGGAAGCGACACGCTATTTCTGCTCTGTGCATGACGACTATACTGTGTGGCACTCTCTCTGACAGCACATCGGCTCTTCCAGCACAAAGCTCGCCGGCCTTCGTAGAATTTTTCTTAGCCCCACCCACACAGTCACGAGCACCTGACTTCCAACCCTTTCCCGCTGCCGAAACCGAACCTTGAAGCAAGCAGAACCGCTTGACCCCACCTTCTGGCCGCTTGCCACCAACACGTCCTCGCATGGTGCGCGCTACGTTGATTTCTAGAGAGAACCTCAACATCGTGGAAACCGTTTGAAAGACTTGAAACCCCTTGCTGCGACCCCTCATCAAATCGTAGAAGTCTCCTCCGGCTGCCCGCTTGTTCAAACGCTTCTCCAGGCGCTCTAGGACCTGTTGCAGAAGCAACGGCAGGTGCAAGAAAGCTTGAAGTGCAACATGTTTGCAGGAAGGATGAAATTCAAAACTGCGGCTGCAAGTGCAAAGAGCTTGCAGTGGTGCTTGCATCATCACGCATCTGCAGTCCAAGGCGGGCTGAGCATGCTCCATGATGTTGCCATGCTCCGCCTGCTTTCTCAAGCCTTCTTGACGAGCAGCCCAACACCTGCAGTGTGGGCGGTCTCGGGGCTCAAGCCCGTTCCACCGCACCACGCGCTCGTCGGAAAGTAAACCCAACTCCAAGTCACATAAGAAGTGTCTTTCACGGGCACACACACTTCAACTGAGCGTGCTTCGTGACACGAAAACCGGTAAATCAGTTCAACTGCACGCTTGTACGAGTGATGGAGGCCCCTGCTTGCAAAAGACCGTTCTGTGCAAATCTGGCGAGCTCCGTGTGAGTCCCAGGAGCTTGAACACGGAAGACTCCACATGGAAATGATTGACGATTCACGAAGACCAAGTACAAACTTTCCCACCTCCAGGAGACTGAACGCTGCACTTAAAGGACAACCCCCAGCCCTCAGCTGAGGCACTGAAGGCAGTCCTGGTGCCACCTCTCATGTGCCTGGAGAGAAGACCTCAAGAAGCTTGATAGCTGATGGCTGGCATTTGTATGATTTAGGATGTTGGGTAAAGTGCAGGGCCCAGGGTCTCGGAGTCTCCGTTTTCATCCATCTACTTTAGCAAACTTTAGCATCCAAGAATGGATTCTGATCTAATTTGTCTTTGTCGGGATACACCATGCCAGCTACTGCATGCTGAGCTACCGGCACTGAACAACGCAAAACTGACACAGAGGCTATGAAACAGAAGCCGGACCACGCAGCCTGCGGACCGAGCATACAGTTTGCTGTTTCGCACGTTAACACTGCGCAATTACAACAATGGCCTCCGGGCCAACTGGCAGCCAAGTCGCTGCACCACCTTGGGAATGGCCTCCAGCATCTTGCTCGCCGTGATGCTGGCTATCCTCACTTCAGTCTGTTCGGTGTTCCGATCCCTTCCCAAACCATCATACCAGGCGAGGGTAACGGAGAGGTAGGTCAAGCTTTGTCCTTCTCAAGCAGCTACGCCATCCACAAGTCAGAACTCCCTTCGAATGCCTTTTGACATGAGGATAGCGTTGACAGCAAAGCTTGAGGCAAGGCCAAATGCATGGCCAAAACAAACTGCAAAGCAGACCGGTACTTGCAGGAAGGTAGCGTCAGATTTTGCAGCTGTCCAATATGAGTAGCAACAACTTGAACCAGAAGCATTATAATTGTAACACGACGGAACCACATGTAACTCAGAATCGGCCGAGAACATATACCGAAAGCAAGGCTGATCTAAACTGGTCAAACTGCCATGATTTGGGAGAGCACATCATTGATCTCTGTGTAATATGGCAGAGCATACAACATGGAAGCATCTGCTGCCACTGAAAGACCCTTGTGCCAACCTTGCTTCATGAAGTCGAGGGACTCGTCTGTTTCAAGACCCCACGAGGTCGCATCCGCCCCGTTGGGAACCGTCACCTTTGGCAAACGACCACGCGACGGACGGCTCGTCACTTACCGCTGTTTTACCGTAGCTGGATTTGATTGCGAGCGCCTTCCGTCTAACAGCTGATTGTACATACCCAGCAAAGCCTTGAATTCGTCCTGCACAGGCGGTGGAAGGACCAGCAGCTCTGGTGGCCGCAACCTGCAGTGCTCACGTTTACATGCGCGGGCCACAGTTCATGTCCTTGCCACTAAGCATCAGGTCAATGTCACTACATATGTCATCCTTCCCCGACCGGACCAAAACCTCTCTGAAAGCGCGATTGATGTAATAGCTGAGCAGCAAAGACCCAAATATTGAGCCCTCTAAACCCTCCAACCCTAAAAGCCCCCTCAACCGGAAACGCATGACCTGACGAAAAGCCGGCCTGTCTGGTGAGTCCGGCACAGCTCCCGGAAGCCCGAAGGACATGTCACCTTAAGGTTTAGGGTGTAGGGGGGACTCACGATGGCTTGGGATTCGAACTCCCGTGGCCGTCGAGAGTCTGTAGGGTCTAGAGGAGGGTTGAGGATCACCTGGGTCCATCTCCAGTTCGAAAGGACGGAACGGGCCGGCACGAGCAGTCCAGTGCCTCTAGTTTGTGACTACTGGCAGCAACAGATAGCAGCAAATAGACCTCCAAACCGCTAGACCCCAAATCCTAAAGCATATATCGGCTTGGTAGTGCCCTAAGTCAGAGGTTTAGAGAACTGCAGTATGCTAACTTGCTTTCAGAGCCACCGCCTCGCCGGTTGCCGAAAGAGTGCCCTGAAGTTCCGATACAGGTTCGTCTACAGGTGCTAATAGGGTATAGGGTTTAGGGCTTAGACTAAAGAAGCTGTAGGGTACAAGGGCTTTGGGGTTGCCGGGCTACACCCGCAAGTACACTGGCTAGACACTCCACGAACGAAACCACTCGAACATGTAGTCACGACCGTGAATGAATTGTCGTCATTGTTCTGTTCGGCATGCAGATGGAACAGATGCGGTAAAACGGTAACCCCAAAGTTTGCGGTATCGTCCTAATAAGCCCGAAACAAGTGTCGGAAAAGGCTACGTTGCGCGCAGAAATTGTGATCCACATTCTTTGCGAAGGGAGCAACAACCCTCTCGCAGGGCTTGTAGAGGGTCTCATTTCTTCAACTGCCAAGGGCATCGTAGTCCTGAGCTAGAGTCTAATGTAAGTATCGAGACCCACCTCTCGAAACCAGCAGTTTGCCATCTTCAACTGGCCCCGGAACCTGCTCTCTCTTGCGGACAAACGGCCTGCTGTCTCTGACAGGCCACAGGCATTCCGGCAGAGTCTCTCCTTGAACTGTCCGGGTAGCATGTTCGTTCAGGCTTTCAGGAGGGATGCGATTTTGGCACCAGGACAGTATGGCTTCGAGTACCACGGACAGAAAGCTATCATGGCCATGCAAAGCATCTGGAGGCATTTGGATTGAATGCATGTGGGGAGAGTGAGATGGCGTCACGAAGTACTTGCACCGCAACATTCAACAATAAGACAAATCATACGTAAGGAACAACTTGCCCTCTGGGCTGCGATCTTGACACGAAGACCTTGCGCGCTCTTTCAGCAGCCTAAATGTTCAAGCCCAGTCGTAAGCACGAGCAACTTCGACAAGTCTGCAAGATGACGCGACTATTGATTCTCAAAAGTGCAAGTCGCACAGCAGTCGCCTTCTGAACACATCACTGTCCCCAGTCTTTATTGGCCCAGCATCCACTGATGATGCAGCCTCCTGTGACAACTCCTCCTGCTGGGCCAGCCTGGAGTATTTGCGGTTTCTGAGTTCGAAGGGCCGGAAGGTTTGCTTCAGGAACATATCCAGCACTTCCCAGTGACTTCGGGCAGACTTCGATTGGCGGACTTCAACGCAAAGTCAGCTTAAAGCGTTACAGGTAACGGGCCGGACTTGCCTTTGCGAACAGCAGGCATTCTCAAGACTTTAAACATGTGAACCCATTGTTTTGCATGATTGTTCTGCGTATACCCTGCAGCCCTGCTTGGTGGTGGCTGACCTTCTTCCTTCAACCCTGAACTTCGGCTCTAAAATGTCCCCAAAGCCCAGGCCACACTGCACTCGAAACAAGCAACATCTGATCTGCAATCACCACAGGTATCTGACAGTCTGACACATGTCAACCCTACGAACCCTCAAGCTCTAAGCCCCAAAACCCCGCAATGATACATCCGCAACTCCCCAAACCATAATGGCCTGAATCACTTCTACCCTATAGGATTCTGTGGGGAACCCATATATAGAAACCCTCGCAGCTATTGTGTGGGTTCAGGGCTGAGACCGATATGTCTGATGAACTGAGAGTAAAGCCTCAAACCCGAAGATAAATTATAACTACAGAAACCCCAAACCTTTTTTTCGCTGCAGGCTTGCACGCAAGGACGCCTAGTAGAAAACTAAAGCCTTAAAGACACCCTATGAACCCGAAACCCTAAAGAAACCCTCAACCCCAAAACCGTAGAGAAACCCCAAACAGACCCGCAAGGCGCTCATCTGCAGCAGAAAAGCAGAACTTGGAGTTGAGACTGGAGGGCGGCCGCATGATCCGAGAGAGCTGCCGCGAGGTGATCCGACAGGAGCTGGAGGTCGCCTCGCGGATTTGTGGGGAATTTAGAGGCCTGAATCATTCCAATAGGGCTTTTAAGGGGGATATCTATTTTATACTGACATTACATAAAGAACATCAAGGAACAGTAAGGTATTAAATCGTGCTGCTGTTTTTCCAACCCTATACTAAATAGGGTGCAGGTGTCTAGTGAGCTTCTGAATCTGAATGTTTTGGGGAAGGGGAAACTGCTTCGGCCGGAACCGGTTTAGAGCACCCCAAGCACCTTGCTTTGCAGCTGCTTGCCACTCAGGTCCAGTGTGCCTGAGTCAATCATTTGCAGCTTCAAGGGATCGGTGGCTTGGATCTGAGAGGCGCATTTTCGACCTTGCCGAAGGTAACCGTACACACATCTTGGCACCGCGCGGCTTTGTGATCTCATGCTGGTTCGGAGCATGTGTCGCATCTAGCCTCCCGGAGTATGGATCGACTGGATCTCTCTATGCACCTCCATCACAAACAGGTCACATGTAGAACGCTCTTACATGTGCACCGCATCCCTGCATCGCAAACCGACATGCTTGCGATGGCCCATGTAGCAGTCTCTGACTCAGAGCAAGAAGTGGGCAGGATTTGATGCAAACAGTGTTCGCCGAATACATCTTCATATTGAATGCCGGGCCGCCTGCTGCCTGGCCACAGGCCAGGGGGCTCGCACCTCGCTGCACGCGAGCATGCTGAGATGAAGCCCCACGAGCCTATCTTTATTGACTCGTGTGATTGGCCTCGAACAGTTCGAAGCTGAAGTGCAGGGACCCGTTGACACAAGCATGATAAACCAACCAACCATGGAACAACGGCTTGACGTGCTTGTTGGTCAGTACTGATCACCTCTCAATATGATTTCATTCGATCATCGTCCACATCTGCTTGTGAACCTCGACCTTATCATGCGGTGGGTAGCTTGCGCTCAGAAGTCCCAATGTCCGCATGCCAATGGCAGTGCCATTCTCATGTTTGCATTCCTAGTGACAGTGGTCTGTGCTGTTCATCGACTTGACTGCATGATCGTTCTTCGCACCGTCGTCACAATCATCTTCATCTTCATCCTACTCTTCTACTTGCGAATCGGTGCCGTTCTTTCTTGCTGCTGTGACCACCCTTCGCACAACCCAATTGCACAAGGAGTCCACAAGGAGGCTTTTTATGGCCTTGCTCCCCAACTCCTGCACAAACCGGGGCAAATCAACATGGCAAACGGTTGAATGTGTAAGGATTCCGGAGAAGGAACCTCAAAATGTGAGAGCTTTGCAGAGCCCTCGTCAAACCCCAAACCCCTATGATTGCAGAACCGTTATGGGAATCCTTTACGAGTTAACCCTATACTCCTAAACCCGAAACCCTCATAGGAACTTTAACTCCTTATAAGGTCCTTCAATGGTAGGAATCCGGGCGGCATTCTGCCATGACCCGCCCAGCTGTCAGGCTGCATAGAAAGACTGCTTCTCTTGAGCCGAGCCGGCAACAGGTGCAGAAGCTCAAACTTGGGGACTGCCCTTTCGCAGTTTGAGTGCCTACGTTTGTTGTCGACATGCTCCTGGAATCCTGCTGACTTGTCTGTCTCCATTGATACTTCCGATCCTTCTGCAAGCCTGGGATGCTGGGAGCAACCCCAAGACTCGGAGAAACCTTGCAACAGATCCTGATAATTAAATCATTTTGGTGCCTCGTGCTCGTTAGTAGCTCAGTAATGTCAGCAGTATGGAAGCTCCTGGCCGTGACATGCTGCCTTCCCAACATGCAAGGCTTCTTCATTCATCATGCTTCAGAAACGACTCCGTGTAGCCCGCAACCCGGGACATAGCCGACACTGCGAGGGCTCGGCCTCCGCATATTCGACCGAAACCTTTGGAGATGCGGGCACCTGTCAAGAGGAGTTCCAGAACGGTAACGGCAATCATAGAAACAACAATCTTCACTGATACCACTCTACTCGCAATAAGCTTACAAGGAACAACAGAAAACAGAGATGCGATGCCAACAATGTGGAAACGATGATAGCTCTAGTGGCGCAATGCCTCTGGCAGCCCAATTCAAACGGCATAGTTGTGATAACAGCAGCAGCAGAGATCGCAAATGGTATCCAACAGTACAGTACTTGCAGATTTGAACCCATACCCACCGTGACAGTCCTATCGCTGCTGACCTGCAAGAAGCTTCGGACAGACTGGCCCTGCACAGTTGTAGATACTTCTTTGCCCCCTGAGTTTGCTGCAGCTATGCTGGGTCACCGAAGCCGCAGTTGTACAATCTGCGACACCCGAAGTTCCAGATCGCCGAAACCCCAAAGCCCCAGGCCATATCTGCTAGTCGCGAGCCTCTATCGGGAATGCCTGGTCGACAGCTCGCACGAAGCCTGTCGCGTAATCTCGAGTTTACATGGGGTGCACGAAGGGTTTGCCGGCCGGAACAAGCAGAAGAGGCGAGCGACGAGACGAAAAACATGAGAGCACTTGTGGAGCGAAACCCTGCAACTTCCGCGGGTCAGCATGTTTTTCTTGCGACGTCTGGCCAGCAATCCACAACCATAGCATCCACTTCTGCTGCGATTGGGGCTACGGCCCCGCCATGGATTCGGACAGATCAAGACTTCTGTTCATGACGAATTACTCACTACCCTGTATCAGGTGTCTTCGCTTTTCCCTACAGTAGAAGCCAAAAAGTTGGAAACCCAACAGCCTCAATCCTTAAGAGTCATGTATAGGGAGTCCCAGCACTATTTGGCCTTAATCCGGTTTCCAACTTTATGGGGTTTACTGTAACTTGGCAACATTGCCACTCCACGGCATCTTGCCTTTTCGTCATTCTGACATCACAGTCCAATCGAATCTTCAAGCGCTATCTTGGTTTCTGAACAGACTAATTTAGGCCTTGGTCTCTGTACCTAGCATTTGGAGCACGAGTCCTTGGCAGGAATTCGAAGACCATAACGAAAGACGCAGTCGCAGGAGGATCTGCACAAGACCCGTCGAAGAATCTCCATAACAGCAAATACATGTGTACATAGGCATATACATACACATACATACACATACATTGACATATACGCATACATACACCCATAGGCACATATACACATACACACAGACATACCTACATACATATGCACATACATACCTCCCTACCTACGTACATACATATTGACGTGCGTACATATACATATATATATATATACATACGTACATACGTATACATACGTACATACCCATACAGGATACCTATGATCTCATGTATGTATGTATGCATGTATGTATGTATGTATGTATGCACGTGCGTATGCATGTATGTGTGTATGTATATCAATGTAAGGTTGCTCTTGAGTATAATATATGTAGTCAGATAGATAGATAGATAGATAGACAGACAGGTGGATTAATATATAGTCCAAGGTCTCAGCAAGTGATTGGTGAGTGTTTCCCAAGGGCTTCGTGCAAACACTTGTGCAACTGGGCTCGTCTTGTGGGCAAGCTGCTGCAGCCCTTTTTCGGGCCACACTCCGCGCACATTTGATGGGGAGATTTTTGCCAGAAGATGACCCTGCTGAGCCCCTTGAAGGTTGCAGGCGAACTAGAAGCCGAATGATGAAGCTACTGGTAAACTACCATTGCAGCGATGCTAACATTAAGATGCAAAGCAATAAGTTCTACGATATTTTGACACCCAAACCGTCTCGAAACGCGGTACGTCACTCACGTCGGCCCGTTGAGGGCATGCGCAGCAGGATTTATAAGGTTTGAATCTCTAGTAGGGTTCAGTGTTCATCACTCCCGGCTTACAGAAGTGACAGTAGCCTTTCAGAAGAGGATCAACCGCGATGGAACATCGGGGCACATCAAGGCCACGCCCGGGCTCTTCGAGACTTCAAACAGAGAGTGGCAAGGAACTTCCACGTAGCTCCTGCCGCTGTCTGAGGACTACCCCCTGCCGCCGGAGGACTAAGGTGACACATGCTTCGCAACATTCTGAAAATCGAAACCAGCCAGACAGGGCAGGCAGGGGGAGGCCTGTTGTAAGTGAGCTTGCAGACTACAGAAGATACTGAAACCACGACGAAAAACATGTTACTGTACTCTCACGCTGCTCTGCGAGTCTTAAAGCCTTGAGGGTGCGAACGGTAGAGCTTAATGGGATATAATGGGATCAAGGAGCTTCCGCGGCGCAGGTCTCTACAGCCGATCGGACGTAACTATCTGGAACTGACTACCCTGCAACTTCTCCACCTCGCACTTGGCTATCTCTGGGGCAGTACCTGGATGCATTGTACCAGCCCAAACCTGAAGATACGTATTACCAAGGACCACTATAGTCACTAAAGGTGTTCTGGCTGCATAAATTGCTTATGAAAGGATTCACAGCGCTTGCTGCTCATTGTAAAATGGGTCGGCAAGCTTCTAAAACCAGCTGGTCATGCAGTGCGCATGCCGAGCATTTTTTTGGTCTCTCGCTTCATCGGCCACGGTCGCCTGCAAGATCTGCAGGATTCATCTGCGCATGAGGCCCCTAAACGGCCTATATCCCTGCAGGAATTGCCCAAGGGCCCGATGTTATATAGTACATTATAATAGTTTCAATTAGATATGAATTATCGTACAGTATACCAGCTTAATATTCTATAATATGTCGTGGCAGTGCACTATCCCCAATCGCCCAATGCTTTAATCGCCCAGATCGCCCAGATGCTTTACAAGCCCGGACACCAACGTCCCAGCCATCCCTTGCCCCGGCCTGAAGGTTCGAGCGCCAAAACCTCCAACCGCATGCCAGTCCTCTGCTGAACTTCAAGGTTTGGGGATCCAGGGGCAAAGGGGGCCCTTAACGGGATCTATAACGGCCCTAAAAGGGTTTAAGGGCTTTAGGGTTTGGGGGTTCAGGGACTGAGGGTTTAGAATTCCAGGCTTACATAAGGTTTAGGAAAGCGAAGGAAGTTGCAAAATGGGAGATTCTGGAATTTGAGGATATCCAGCCCCGGAGGGAATTGATCTTCGAACACCCTCAGCCGCAACATCAGAGCTGAAGAGGCATCCGAATCCAAGATTCCCTGCAGCTGTCGACAAGCCCTGCGACTCCCAGATGGCAAAGAAGCGCTGTTGCTTTAGTTATAAAGTGTGGCCTCACTGATAAGACCAAGGGGAAGGTCGAGGATATCATTGCTGGTACTTGGAGTACGATTGCTCGAGCGGGCATGATGGTACTTTACATGAGGCACCCAGGGCATGGCAGCGCCTTCCAGAAAGAGCTGGGGACTCATGTGGGGAACTCACTGGCCTCCTGCTCCTACTGTATTCGACTTTCGTGGATGAAGCAGTCATGCCTATAGTTGCACAAGGCAAACTTGAGACCTACACCTTCTGCATGACAAGCATCAGCAGAGCGATCTGCCATAGTCAGAGAATGTGAAGAAGTCAATTGCAAACGCTGCTGCCCTTGGCAGGGACAGGACTTCACTGTCGGAAGCTTAGCCCAGCAGCTCTCCATGACTCAAGCGGTGGCAGCTTCGGCGGATCAATGAAACCCTGCAGCCTAGGACGATATTCGTCGTAGATGTGACACATGCTGCACGAGGAATCACCTCGCGAGGGGGCGTGTCGGTGCATGTTTGCAACTTGAGGTATTTAGCTACATTTAGGTAAAGGTCCGAAGAACGCTTCCAAAGCAAACCGAAGCAACATGATCGTGAACTTACGACTGTGCAGTGCAACCAAGAGGCCTAGCACAGCGAATATCAGAGCCAGTAGGACCTGCAGTCGCGCAAAGCAAGTGTGCAAAAAAGTTAATGGCAGCACGATGTCGAGCCTATTGAAGGCAATCTGACTGTGACTGGATATCATGGTGCAAGACGGATGCCGAGGCGGCACCACCGACTAGGCTCAGTGACAACGGCCTACAGCACTCACCGTGCTTGGCTTCTGCTGGACTGGATCCATGCGGTTGTTCGTCCAGGACCCAAGGATGTCTGATTGCAAGTCGAGATCGGGCACGTTCACTGCGAAGCTTGCCGAGCCGCGAAGAAGCCGATAAGAAGCCTCGGCTGTAAGAAGACTTCACCAAATATCTATAGCTTCGCTTGCCTACTGGGCCCGAGCTACACCTTTGCCTTTAAACTTTTTGAGGTCGCGAAGCAAAACTGATCTGCACCGCCTTCACCTGGCCTCCCGGCCCTCTTCCCTGCGTGTCAAGCGGCTGCTCCAAACCTTTCTCCTCCATGCGCAAGCGGGGGTCGATGTCTGAGCCAATTTCCTTTTTCTGCTTGCAAGTTCGGGCGCCGGTAGATCACTCATGCCAAGTCAGGGGTACTTACTTTCCTTCGCTGACGTGCTGCATGCCTCGACCACTACACACGGACAGGTGGTCTTGTCAGAGTTGTCGGTTCTGAACCAGCTCGTGCCAGTACGTTTTTCGGAAAGCAAGAGCACGGGAAGTCTCAACCTCTGCACATTCCTGGCTGCAACAGAATTGGCATGCTGGCGATCCAGGATCTGTTTTTGCAACACCACTATGGTTGCGAAGTGATAGATCCAACAGGTGGGGCAGGGGGTGGGGCTAAGTCACGTGCACTTCTCGCTGGGAGAGGATCGGGAAATACTATGCAGGGATGATAGGCAGCATAGCCCCAAAGGACCTGCTATTGACTTTGCCGGGGCGCATTCCATCTTCCGGTCATGTTCCCGTGCCTGGCCGTTCAGCGCAATGACCCTTGAGATCTGTGCTTAGAGGAGAAAATGCTACGATGTAAAGGGTCAGATAAAGCGGCCGTTTAAAGGCAATTCGGAGATTCTGCTTAGCCTCCTCGCACACAGCAAGCCATCAAACATTAACTTCTATTATTCTTGTTCGTTTTGCGAGCGAGGTCGTGTCACTGGGCATTTCCAACGGCCATAGATGCTAGGCAGACGTTTTGCAAATCAAGTGGTGGTACCGGATAGCACCGGCAAGTAGCAGCTCAGTCGAAGAGCTTCCAGGCATGGCGGTGGTCAGCGGTCGCAGCGACGGTAGCGAATTTAAGTATGGCCCCGTCTGCTTCAGATTTCAATGATCAAGCATAACCTACCCTCCTCTTAGAACCAACACACATGGCACAAAACTAACCCGCCTGTGTACCTCAAAACCGTCCTGCCGCGCAATGTGTCAACTAAATTCGAAATCGTCAGTCCAGGTTGCAATGGGTCGTAGTTCCACGGAAACCCATCGAAGCGGAATGCAGGTTCCGCCTGTTTTCTTTATTTGCAGGGACCTTGTTTCGAACATTATGTCGCTGAGGCCCTTTCACGCATGCTTGGTAGGGCGTGCAGGCCCTTTGGAGGAAGGCTTTTGTACCTTGCTTTCTACAACTGCGCCAACTGTTAATACAACAATCATCGATGATGTAGCCAGCAGGTCTGAAGGGACCAGTGTGTGAGGCCAGGACTGAACGACCATTGACTGCGTTGCTTTACGGTCACTGCGAGGCCAGCAACTTGCGCTCCATGCTTGCTTATAATGTAGGGGCGTTCATAATTGGAATGGGGGCTTTGGGACCAATGATTTCTACTTCATGCAATCTAAGGAACCCCCAACCTAGTTTAGGTAATGATTATAAGGCCCCTATATCAAGCCTTTGTAGCCTTCTTTGAAGACCTGGTCAGCAAAGACTTTCAAGGTTGCAGAAAGCTGCCAGATCCGGAGTGATTGACGGGGTTTGCCAGGTGGGCGGCTAGATTGGGCGGAAGTTTACCTTGGGTACGGAATCATGCAGCAAAGCGCCGAGAAGACCGATTCCGAAAGCTGTGCAGATGTGGGTGCAGCTGCATGCCAAAGGCATTCATGTTTCAAGGCCTTCTCAAGAACCCAATTTAGACTCGAGCTTGATTCAGACGATCCCCGAAATGCCCGGCGGGGCACATGCGCCACTTCCAGCGGGGAAGCGTGCCGCGGCCTGCATGCTCGAGAATTTCGACTCTCACACTCACGACAACAGGTCCAGCTGCAAGGCAACAAAAGATGGTACGCTGAGGTCACTATGCAGCACACACCGAAGACTAGTCAGAACAGTCAGCACAAGACGGAAGAGATGCCAGTAGCTAAGCCAACGAGAAACACTTGAAGACGCTCTCCCGCGACACAGCAAGCTGCACAGCATACCACTGCGCCCGTTTTTGGTTGACGCCGTGCTGTTACATAAATCAGCCCTTAAGGCACGTAGGAAAGCACGGGTCGGGGCAAGCTGCGGGTGAGCTCATTAGCCACCCTCCAGCAGCAAGGTCAAAATCGCTACACCTTCACGCTGGGCAGCAATTGCTTCCTTTCCTCTTCTTCCTGCTCGATCTGCTGCCGGGCTTTCCCGTAAAGGATGCCGCCCAAGATGGACAGGGAGGCACCGAGAATCTGGCCGTGGGTGAGCACCTTAGTGTGCATGCCAAAGGCTTCGATGCCAATGATGACGAACTTGTTGGCATTGACCATGACAAGGAAGCTGGTGGCACTTATCAGGCTCTGGGCCCAGATTCCCGTGAAGCCGATGGACAGGCCGATGACACAGCTCAAGCCGATATAGACCTTGTCCAAGCCTGTGAGGTTGGCGTACGCATAAGGGAACTGGCCGACTTCTCCCGTGAAGTAGGCTGCCATGCCCACTGGGATCAGACCCATCATGTTGTTGATGACAGTGATGCCTGTCTTGGAGATGTCCACAGGGTGCTGCTCCTTAGACAACAGCAGGCGCTGCAGCAGCCGATCGCAGACTGCAACGATGCTGTTCAGCATCACCCAGCCGATGCCCTCCCAATGCTCAGCGTGGAGCTGGGAGACATACATGACCGCCCCGGCGACCATCACAACGATGGCACAGACCATGGGCCCACTGATTCGCAGTGGCTCGGGGTAGAAGCGCTCGAAGATTAGGGAAAAGAGAGGCGATGCGCTCCGGAGGACGATAACCAGTGACATCGGTGCCTTCTTCAAAGCAAGAATGGAAGTCATGAGCATGCCAGTGAAGAACGGGACCACCATGCACCAGCGCAGGAAGTCCTTCATGGAGCCAATGTGTAAGTAGGGGAAGCCAAAGATGAGCATGAAGAATGCTGCAAAGAAGAGCTGCAGCCACACCAAACTGCACTCCAAAGGCAGCGCCTGGACAGCAAGCTTGTTGAAGAGGAGCATCCCCACCGAGGAGAAGCAGTTGCACGTGCATGCCACGAGGATCTCAAACTGCTGCGCGTGGAGGGACGCCATTGCTCGAAGGGAGTTCTTCGGTAGCGGATGGTAGTATGGGATGGCGTGATAAATCTTGAGCCAAAATGGCCGACAACTCCGAGGACTTCGAAACATCGGATCGGCAGGCAATGGATTGAGGAGAATTTGGCCATGGGATTGCCAGTCCTGCAGTTCTGCTGTCTCCCACATCTGCAAGATTTGGCAGGCTCAGTATAGCGATGGCACACTGAGAAGCCCAGAACGCAAAAGACCCCGTGACGTTCTTCATGCCCCGTGCGCGCCGCTCGGTCAGAGATACATCGACCAGGCTCCAGTTGCCCACAAGCCTTCCGCGCGGCAGGGGCACTTGAGGTTCTGTTGCTTCAACGACAAACACTCGGACTCTCAAACGGAGAAGACCAAGAACAGAAGGCACTCCCAAAGCCTAAGACCGTCGTCCACGAGCCACGTAACCCCGGCAGCAAGAGTCTCAAGATCAAAGATCATCAAGGTTTTGCAAGCAGGAACTTGTCTACGACCCCCTGGATTCAGACTCACATGATGATGTTGAGGGAGCCGGTAGGCAAGGATGACCCTCCCGGACACATGCTTTTTCAGGAGGTCATGCAATGCCAAGGTGCCCAAGAAGGCGACCCACTTCACCGGCAGCTCGATCTTGCAGCGCTTGCAGCAATGGGCTGTCCTGAGTTACAGACATTAATTATATACATACACTACATTACATGCCTTCATACATATGCATGCGTATGTATGCACATGCAAACATGCATGCATACATACCATTACATTACATTCACACATGCATTCCTCCCGTGTCAGCCTGTCCGGCGCTCTCCTAAAAAAAGGAAACATTATCAGGATTGCCCCGTCGAAGCTGTCCATCAATGTTACCCAATATACCAAGACCTTGCTTTCAAGAGGCTGTCCCGTGTTAGCTGTGCCCGCCGCGGGACCGATACTTTAATACCCCATCCTTTGCACCTTATTCGTTTCCGGGGGTGAAACCTGCTGAGACATGACACAGCATTTAAAACAGTGCTAGTCAACTGAGCAGCGGGTAGCATGTCGCCGTCTTTATTTGGAAGACGCCAGACCTGACACCAAGTTCGCCTAAACCGACCGCTTTGCTGAAACCCCACTCAGGCCAATTGCTGCGATGCAGGCTGCCTCACAGCGTACCGCCACGTAGAGATTGCAGGTTCCACTCCTCTCGAGAACAAGGCTTTCCTCATGACTTACACTGAAGTTCTTGGCTAACTACCAAGACTCAATCAGAGCACTTGGACCGTAACGTCAGTTTGCATCAATAGTAATGGCTCCCTGATGCTGCAAGTGCAACCGGTACTCTCATGCGAACACCTGCCTGCATGGACCGTAGGCCACCGAGACCCGCTTCCTCTCATGGGGCATGATGCTGACATGCGCGGTGTCAGGAATTAAATTCAGGTGCAGCAATGACAAATAAAGCATGGTAAAACGGTGGGATGACTGCAGCGTTTAAGCTGAAGGGTCCGCATGATCAGGTGTGCGCAATGTGCGGATTCCTTCCTTCTGCTCTGCCATCTGAAGTGCTAGGTCTTCGGCTCTTGTTGAAGGGGGCTGCATCTAATTGAAAGCTCGACCTCATATAGAAGGAACTGGCAGCAACAGACAACATCCAAGCACTTAAAGCAAGAGTTCCCGCTTGATGGCCGTGTGGTGTAAAAAAGCCCACATTCACGCCTGAATCCTGCACAAAAATGCCAACATTTTGGAACTAATGGCTCCAAGAAAGACAAGCTTCGGTCTCTGCTTCTGTCCGCCACGCACGCGTGGGTCCACCGAGCCCATGCCCGGTACCTCCAGGGGCGACCCCTGCGACTTTGGCTGCAGTCTTGGCTGTATGCAGACTGCTGTGTAGAGTAGGATTCAACATACCTAGAGGCTCATACCCTACCCCTTCTTTTGGGTGCCCACTTTTCAAGATATCAGGTCCTAACCATAAAACTAAGTATCCTAAAAGAGGGGTAGACTATGAGCCTCTACTGGGTAGGTACTGGCACTGTCGGGACACATATCGTTTCCATTGCTTGCAAATACTGCATGGAACTGAAGAAAAACATAGCAACTCCAGCCTAGCATTCGATGTATATATATATATATACATATGTATACACACACACACACACCTGCCGAAGCATGTATCATATGGGGTCCCAGAATGACAACGAACCTGTATATCGTGAGACAAGGTATGATTTCATGGGAGACACACTACATATCCAATTGTACATCCTACACACCACTGAACCTTAAAGCATATATCCCTAGCCCTAGTTTTGCATATACTCTCAGACCAGAAACTCAATCCATCGTCTCGAATTTAGTGTGTCAGCAAACCTAGACCTCTTAAGCCGTAACCCGCGTATAGGGCTTTTGTCATCCCGCCTGGCGAGCTTTACGACCTTTTTGGTCTATGGCCAAGGCCTTCTGGGGGCTTGGGTGCCACAGAGGCGGACGACTTAACGAAGCACCACATGAACACCTCTGTCAACTCCCGGAGTTTAATCTGAACAAAAACCTGAGTATCGAACCGCGAGTGCCCAAGTACCAGTTCTCATCACCCACATGTGTACATCATGCAAAGAAGCAAGTAGCAAAAACAAGTATACGACATCGATTTGACGTATGCATACATAAAGGTTGTATGATGGAGAACAGCACTTCGACAGTATGTAAGTTTCTGTATAAGTTTCTGTACACGTAAATGATGACCTAGACGCATGCATGCATGCATGTATATATGATATATGTATGTAAATCTAAGTCGGTGCAAGCGTGAGCCTAAGCGTAAGTGTATGTATGTGTGTGTATGTGTATGTGTGCATGTGTAGGTAGATGCAACTGAACAAATATCTGCTTCGCTGCGCAGACTTTAACGCTTGTCCTGCCAAACCTTCTGCTCCTCCGGCCCGGCCTTGCGCTTCGAATCTGTCAGGGCACGCGACTTACGTTTGATTAGTAGGGAATAGAAGAATGGTGGTAGTGGTAGTAGTAGTAGTAGTAGTAGTAGTAGTAGTAGTAGTAGTAGCAGTAGCAGGTAGTACTGTGGAGATTTGGCTTGGGGAGTTTGGCTTCTCAGGCTAAAGTTTTGGGTTTGGGAGACCTCCTGTTTGGGAACGCGCTCCATGCAACGAAAGGCATGTTTGGGGCTATCCAGGTTTGCCGGTGCTGCGACGTATACATATACACAGCTTCTTGAACAAATCGTACGGGTGGTGGCGAAAGTCCAGATTACGACACAAAAATCAGCTGGAGCTGAGGTGCAGCTTATATATCAATTTCCCTGTATGCCCTGGACTGTTTCCTCGTGACTTCGAGCCTGAGATGTTCGATGCCTTGGGCATCTCCCCCTCCTCTGGCACTTGATCGGTGACCTTCGGAAGGAAGACGCGGTTGCTTTTGTGTGTGTTTGTTTGCCTTTGGGGTGTGTTTGGGGCTGCTGCTTTTCAGGCCCCCTCCGGCGCTTGGACTTCCGAACCCGTTGCAGCTCGAGAAGATCTCTCAGTGCCTGCTGCTTGGCCTGGCACTAGCTGTTTCAAGTGCCAGCTTTGTTTCAGTACGAGCCTGGCTCGTGGTTCTTCTCAAGGTCCGGCTCTTTGCGTTTGATTTAGGATTGCTTCACGTGGAAGGCGAGCCGGCCACAAATCGAATGCAAGCATCATCAAAGAAAAACAAGAATGCTCCGCTCGTCGGACCACAGGTGTTTTGTGACTGCCTTTGCCCAATGTATACATCCTTCCAACTTCCAACATGTCCTCTTCTGCTGCCCACACCCATGAGACCATGTTCATGACAAGGTCAAGAAAACCCTGCAGCCCGGAGCTATACAGTCGGCTTGCCTTCCAGGCTGCAGTTTAGGGTTTAGGGTTTAAGGGTTTAGGGTTTTCAAGCAAAGTACCAAATACCCGCCCTGACACCAAACCGACAAAGCCTGGACTTGGTCTCCTCAGACAGGCTTGAAATCCCGACAGCCGCGGAAACATAGCCCGCCTGCAATCCTTGGGGTCTTACTTTCCCGCCACTGGTTGCCAATCTTTGCTGATCATATTGCCCAAAATCCATTGCAACAGGTGGTGCTGCTAAGAAAAGCTTACGGTTGCCAGATAGGCCTCGGCTTCCTGCACCCGCTGCTTCTGCTGCAGCTCGAAGGCCTCGAGGCCTGGGCAAAACAAGCGGAAAGAGGAAGCGCAAGCCTTACTGCCTGTGTGCACAAGTGCACTGTATTCAGCAAGACAAAGAAAGGGAGAGAGAGGGAAAATGAGGAGAGGGGGAGAGGGCGAGAATCTCGAGATTCGAGATGGAGAGAACGATCGATACGAGAGAGCGACAAGGATTTCAGCAGAATTGCCCGAATCAAAGACAACGTGTCAAAGACAGAAAAATGCAAAAGAGAGGGAGAGATTCGATTCGACAAAGGAGGGAGGGTCTTCGGCACAGAACATGCTCATCCAGAAGGAATTCTGGTCGTCGGCCGCAATGGCTGCTGGGATCCGGCACTGCTGGTGCTCTGATCTACTGCAGCTCTTCAGCATTGGCCGGCGATGAAGATGGTGTTGCGGAAGGAAATTGGACGGCGATGAAAATGGCGTTGGGGTCCAGTCACAGGAAATACGCGGAGTACTGCATCCATGACTACACAGTATCAGGATGTATCAGGGCTAGTTACGACAGATGATATGGGCATGATGCTGGAATACCAGTGAATTTGGGAGGTATCTGTGCATTCTGCTATGTTGCTAGCTTGATTCTGCTTGGACAACCTGGAGTGCAGAAGAATCGTTTCGTCTGTGTTGAGACCTTGCTTGGTACGATGGCATGCCTGCACAAGATACCATTTCTGAACGGTATACCTTGCACTTACCTTGCAACCCTAGCCCCACAAACAAAGCTGACCAAGCATGAGACCAGCGGGTTCAGGTTCGACTTCATCTTTTCGCCGAAGCTTGAAGCTCCGCAGGACGTGGCTGTCGTACCTTGACATGCCCGGGAAAGCATCCAACCTCCAGAAAAGTACTCGCACTCAGGTGTCCCACAAAATGAGTGAAAACAAACAAGCAAACATGCTTGCTTGCTCTATTATCCAACTCAAGTAAAGACTTCGCTGCACTGAAAAGGCGTCTTGTACGGAAAAGGGTGCGGATGCAAGGAACTGACATGACATGCTTGTGCCAACCCTAAACCATACTTCATCCTCATAGGCGAAGTCTACATAGACCCTAGATAAGCACCCTAAACCTCGAACCAAAGCTGGAAATCCGCCAAGTCTCATGCTCGCGTCACGAATCATCCTAGGATCTTCGCTCACAGCTCTTCACAAAACGCAGAAGAATGGCTAAGTGATGACAGGAAGACAAGTCTTTGGGTCGCGACCACGGCTCCCTATTCCACCGACAGAATCTGGTCCAAGGTTCTTATGTAACCCCGTGCTGCAAGTTCTCTCCAGCGCTAAACTGTCAAGGTTCAGCTGGCAGCAGCAATCAAAGAAAAGCTCTGAATCATTACAACTGAAATTTCTGATCCAGTGTAGAGAATTCAATCTCCCTAGCCCCCTGAACCCCACACCTACATGTCTTTTAGCGGTAAGCCTCTAAGCCAAGCGAAACGAAAGGCGTCATCCGAGAGTCAGCTCGAGGGGCACATCCGATGGAGCCACTTGCAGAGCTTGACCGACAGCCACGGGTAGGGACATGCGGATCCAGTCCTGGAGGAAGTATGAGGGTGTGGGCAGGGGCCCCTCTCACACTCGGACTAGCCTGGCGAGGTCTGCTGCGATACCAGTCCACATGTTAACCCTACTTCCCGATTGGTTCACCGGAAGTTCAGCTGTCAAGCTCGATCACTGAAACAACCACCACCACTGATCAAAGCATATCCTGCGACCCAGCTTGACAGCAGCCCTTCGAACAGGCTCCCTGTTCGACTCTCGGGAGGAGGAACGGATTGCTTACGTTATGCTTGCACGGCTTTCGTTGCATCGTGTACTCCGGGGACTACGGAAGGCTTGACAAAGCATGTGCACTTTACTTGCTGCTGTGACACTGTGGGAGGCAGCTTTCTCAAGGAGATGTTCCGCAGCTGCACGGCAAACGAGACGTCGAAGGCATCCTTGCGTTGCAAGGCTCGCTTTGGACAGCTTGTGCCTCGCCGCCTTCGAAACGTATCTTCCGTGGTCTGGCGGATAAATATGAGACATGCGCGGCTGTTCACTAAGTCCGGACAGCGCACGGCCTGGGAAAAGCGGCGGGAAGGGGAGGCAGGCAACTCGCGCTGAGCGACTGGTTAACAGCCAGTCCCCTCTCTCTTTCTCTCTCTCTCTCTCTCTGTCTCTCTTCTCTCTCTCTCTCTCTGTCTCTGTGTCTTTCTCTCTCTTCTTTGCAACACCTCGCATTTCGGGTTAAACCGCGTCATCATTAGGCCAGGCCTGAACTGTTTCGGTATCCACAACTGGTGCTGTCCAATTGCTGCTTTCGCCTGACTTATGGCATCGGCGAGAACGACAAATTCTCTTGGCGCACGATTCGGGTCACAACCCAAAATTCTCATGACCTGGACAAAACTACAAGTTCCTCGACATAGATGAAACTTGTATGCATAGATGCAGATGTACAGACAGACAGCAACATTTGTATCAGTAGGAAACAGGCAACTTGAAGGGATCCCCTTAATCTTCCGGATACTACCAGTATTTGCTACAGACTTGCAAATTGACGCCCTAAATCCTGAAAACAACTGTACCAGTAGCCCTGGCACGAATCGCCATGGTGATAACTAACTTTAGCTAAGACTAACAATACATGATTCCAAGACCTTGCGGCCCGCCCCTGTAACTATAGCTGAAGCTAAGAGGGACCCACCCATCCCAAAGACAGGGTGGCGCCACCTTGCGCGCCACAGGCAGCATGCAGAAACCGACGCCTTCAGCCTCACAGTGATCACAGCAAAGAGGGTCATAATATAAGGTGTAGAGCTTGCAAGGGGGTCTAGAAACCTTCGGGTCGGCAGCAGAGACCGTCGCAAAATCGGCTCTGCACTGAATGTTTCCGTGGGCTTGCACAGTCACCAAACACGTACCCTATAAGGGTGCATGAACCCCGATAGTATAATATTGCGCCTCTAAAGTAGTCCCAATATGGGTATTTGGGGACAATGTGTCTACTACTTGGGCTTTCCGTGAAACTTGGTGTGCCTCCCATCGCAGGATTCCTACACTCCGAATGCAAAGTATGATCGAACCTGCAAGCAGGTCTTGATGACTGATGACATCATGCGTATGTTCCACACGCTTTGGTCGTGCAGTATTGGTGCTGGGGGTTCGTCTTGAGGATTCCCGTTGCATACGGTCCAGGTTCCCCATGGTGAAAGCTGTGATAGCAACCAGTATTTGCAGTGAGAACGTATGAAAGCCATCTTTGTATGTAGATAACTCATACTAGTAGAAGATGAGTGAGTAACTTCGTAAACCCCAAGTGCTGGAATTCAGAGACAAGCGACCTGGATGGTGCGCTCTCCCGGGGGTGCACACTGATCCACACAGTCGGGAATGCCAATGGTGCCGTTCCTTCTGCTTCGCAGAGCAAACGGGAAGCGTTGCTGACTCACACTGGCCACGTGCAGTGGTTTATTGGCTTGCACGTGTGGGCGGATGGATTCTCAAACCCCGGCACATATTGCCAAGAACACGCCCTGCAGCAAGGATGTACAAGGTTCTTTCAAGGTAGGTTGGCATTCGTTTGTTGTAAAGGGCTTGCTGCAACAGCTTAAGTCATTGGAGCCGACTTTGTTGAAGGTCTGTGTTGGCGTAGCCACTGCCCTTGAGCCACCTTGAACCACGATACCTGGTGCAGTCAGACCGTAGTCGTACGGGGCAAATCGGGTGCTACTCTACTGTGCCTGCCGACTGCTGCGATCGCGTCACCACCAGATTCAGTGACGAAAAGCTTTTCCTGTAGAACCCGTAGCAGATGCGAGCCCAGCAAAACCAGCAAGGAGAGTCTACTTTGGCTCAGCATCGTGAGATCCAGGAGCTTCCCAGAAGTAAAACATCGCTGCATCCGCACCTTGAATGAGAATGCAGCTGTATAAGCAGATGAACTCACGCACTGGGCCGCTTGTCTGCACTCCAAAGACCAACGTCAAACCTTCTCACTGGCATGCAAGAGCTACAAACCCCGGTCCGTCTCAGCCTCGGTCTCACAAGGTCGTTCTTACTAGGAGTTGGTTGTAGTCTTCTGGGTCCGAAATGTCAAGCAAAGCTGAAGCAGCGCTGTGATTATCAGCATTCTGCGCAATACTAGTACTGATTTTCCATACGGTTAATACGGTTATATGTCGTCATACATGGATGCGTCATGGAGATGCATAGTGTGTATATATATATATATACATATATGTCATGTGGATTTGTCTATATCTATAAGTTACACGGTGAGGCAGACAGGCCTACAAACAATCAGCATATATATATATATATATATACATATATATATATATATATATATATATAGAATATACACACATACCTACCTACCGAGGTACATACATGACATGACATAAACGCAGACGTACATGCTTTCATATACATTCATACATCCCTCCCTCCCTCATGCATGTAATGTATACCTATATGCACATGCTCTTCATCAATATGTCTGTCGACTGTTTGCGGGCCCGGGGGCGGCTGGACTCCGATCCCACCGGTCCCAAGACTGTGGGGCAGGTGCGGCCAAGACCAAATGAAGAAGCCTGGGTGCGGGTGTCTGTGACTCCCGGGAAGTGCCAACAAGTGCTTATCATTATTCTTCAAAGCGCAGCCGATAGCTGTAGACAGAGGTTAAAGGAGTATGTGAGTATCTTTCTTTCAATCCGACGTTATCGGCTGCACTTGCCACAGAGACGTAATATGCTGGAAGCGTCGACAGAACACTGGTGCGCAGTGACGGTGTACCGCCAAACTCTAACCCTAAACCCTTAAACTGCACCTGCTATTTTTCTGGGGTTCATAGCCGGGGACGCGGTGATGCATCAAAGGAGCGGACAAAGGCAAACTCCTCGTTGGAAGCATTTCTGGCCTCTCCTGTTCGGCTGCTTCGGAGCAGAAACGGAGCGCAAGTCTCACTGGCATAGAAAAATTCAGGCAGTCACGACAAGAAGCCAGCATCTTTGATCCAGATTACTTTTCGGGCCGCGCAAAAACACCTTCAAACGCGGTATATGAAACCCAACCCTGATCTGTCCTTACCACCATGGCTGCTGACAGCGGCCAGAAAGAAGGAGGGTTCTCTACTTCACAGTTTAACCACTGGTGCTTCAACATCTAACTTTTGCAGGTGCGACTACTAGTAGTATAAGCGCCACGTAGAGTGCAGACTGCTGATGGCTGCTGCTCACGGAAGTTGCTCCGTTTCTTGAGCTGGGCTCAGGACTTAGGGAGGTGTTGCAAAGAGCTGGGACTTGCTTTTGACACGATACCCGACAGTGGTGCTCTGCCATACAGGTACATGGCTGGATTTGGGGTAAACTGACACCTTCGGAGGCGAATGAGCCAAACGGCGCGTGCGCGCGCACCGGCACCACAGCCCTGGACTTCAATACGCTGATGGCACGGTCATCGACTGTGCGAACAAGTTCAAGCCCCTTGAAGCCGGGAAAGCATGCACCGTGACGCGTTTACTTCACCCGACTCCTCAAGTTTGGGGCAGACACCCCTTACAGAAACCCATAAGTCCAAACTAGACTCTGGCGACTTCTCAGATCCCCTCTTAGCTTCAAGTCTGTGCAGAAAGCAACCTCTGCCCTTTGATAGGCAAGTGACCATTACCACCTTCTACCGGCGCCTCGTCTGCCCTTACTTCCCCATCATGTTATACTGCACCATGTCACACGAAGTGTATCTATACAGTATAATCATCTCAGTATCTCATATTTAGTAATATGGCATAGCAGCAGGATTCTGGCATGAAAGTACATGCAACTCAGGGCGGCAGCGCCCTCCGAATTGACGGCAGAGGTGCCCATCGCAACATCACAGGGAGCAGGCCGGGTTCAGGAAGCG